CCATATAATCAAATCAACATGGCCTAACCCCTTGAGGAAACTTTAAGAAAGAATGCATACTAGGCTTGCAAAAATAGAATTATGTACTTGGCTAAGAAAAAAAATTATTATTTTTAATCCGAATAGGTTTCATTTCTTCGTCTAAAGATTATGAATTGAAAGACAAAAATGTTTAAACAGTAGAGTCTGAGAGGAAATTAGAACGGGAATTCAGAGGGAATAATTTGCATATTTCTCCCTGTGTTCTATTTACATTTGTCCTCTTGCGTAGCTTTAGAATACACTTTAGAATATACTTTAGAATGTTAGTAAACACGTGTATGCACACACATACATGCACACAAAATACTAATTGGGTGTTTATGCAAGCTGTACAAATTCAGGTGATTAACGAATGGAAGCGATCTGCACATTCTACTTGAATAGCAATAGTGGAGTATTAAAATTTCTCTATGGGGACTAGCGTAAATGCAAGAAAGATGTGTTTTGAAAAAAAAAACACTAATTGGCTATTCATGCAAAATGTACAAATGCAGCTAATTAGAAATGAAAAAGAGTCCACCATTCCATGTCCTAGTTGAATAGCTATTGAAACTTTCATTTAGGACCTGGTGTAAATGCAAAAAGAAATAGTTGATTTCATTTGATCTGATTTGAAAGCAACAGAACAGGTCTTTTTCTTTGCTATTTATAATTTCTAAGGCCTGAACAAGAAATTCTCGGCACATCCTGCTGTTTGATATCTGTAGAATGTTAGGGGACTAAAAAAGATCTACTGATTGGCTAACCATTCAAAGTATACAAATACGCCTGATTAAAAGTCCGGACGAGAGTGCGGCAGTAGTTGAATGGCTATGATAAGGTATTGAAACTTCAAAACGAAGTCAGGCATAACTGGAAAACAGGAAAAGGAAATGTGAACAAAGAGAATGATACGCAGTTTTTGCCAAAACTGTGAAACTATGAAATTTCCTGCTTACAAATGCTTAACTGAAATGTGAACTTATGCAAAAATGTAATTGAAGATAATATATTTACGTTTATTGCAAATACTTGCCCGAGGGCTAATTGCAGTTACAAACAACATAAGAAATTAAAGAAAATACAGTGGTATGTGAGACTATATCAGCATTCTATGTCTAGCATTATACTATATTTTACAACATACATGGTACTAGTTTTACTGTGTTTTTTGTGGTAGGGAATGGTGGGGAAACGGTTGCTAGTTTTTATCTTAGTAACCATGTACAGCTGCATATGTCATACGATAACAAGTGTCTACAGAAGTATTTCTTTAGTCATTGCAATCGTTTTGTCATCTTTGATCTTTCTACAGAAAGCCTTCTGGTGTGTCATACAGATGCAAGAAGTATCATCATCAGAAATGCTTGGGGGTTCTTGAGAATCATCCTTTACCATGGCAACTGCCGGGGACTACATTCTCATTGTCGTCATCGGAAGTACGTTTTACATTAAAACAGCTTTCTTGAGATTTCGTTTCAATTCTCAACTTTCTCTTTACTTCCTTTCTTGGTAGGTTGAAGCTTTGCTTCCAGGCTATGATTCGCTGAGATGTTTATTGTACGCTGTACACACACATACGAGACCTCTGATTATTAGAAAGTAATAAAAATGATTCCTGATGATGAAACCATATATGGTGTGACACAAAATCCTCTTATCTTCGTTTTTCTAATTACTAGTATAGCAATTCTTTAGGCTCTGAAATTTTGTCTTCAGGCATTCTGTACATTGCTATAAGAACATTATTGCCGTGACTGTATTGTAATGAATTTCGGCCCATAATAGCGTGTATACGTAAACTGATATTTACGGTCACAAACCATGATATTCTCACTTATATTGAATACTATACGTTGTACATTACAGTTATCATCGTGGTGACTGTCATCGGCGGCCTCATCACCATTGTGGCCATCTGGACACGCCCGACATTGCGGAAACCCATCAACATCCCCCTAGCGAGTCTCAGCTGTACTGTCATCATCTTCGCCATCTTGTATTGCTCGTTTTGGATCCAGCATATCCTGTACCCAGAATGGGAGCCTCCGGCAACACTGTGCTGGATTTTAGGCTATGCCACCCCCGTGCTATGGGGGGTATCAGTATGCCACATTTTGTGTATCGCTCTTCAGCATTACTTCAAGGTGTGTGCCAATAGTGCACGTCTAACCTCCACGCCTGCCCTTGTAGTCATGCTCTCGCTCGCATGGTTGGTCCCCATCACATCTTTCTTGCCTCTTTACGCCGGTGAAGAAGTGAAGCTAGACCCGAAGCTGAAACGTTGCTCTATGGGAAGTTCTGACAAAGTTTGGGCAAAGATTTTCCCGGCCATTTTTGCCTTCTTAGCCCCATACGTGGCGACCCTAATTTTCTACGGTCTAATCGGAAATCATGTGAGAAAGAGTCAGAAACGTATTCAAGCTAACAGAATGCAGGATCCCAATCCAAACCGTTTGTCAGTAAAATACTCGTCTGAGAAAGGTAATGATGCCAGCCCTTCCACAAGCAGAGAGACCTACACGAAATCTTTGATAGAAAAGAAGGGTATGGCGTGGGAGGGGGGCGAAAGATACACATCACGTGATGAGGAACAGAAAGGCTGCAAATATTCTGTAGTGTGGGAGGGGGGCGGAAAATTCCACATCAAGTGGGGAGGAACGAAGAACGCAATGGCTGTTCAGTGCGGGAGGGGGATGAAAACTCCACAACACGCATTGATGAAGGAAAAAAAGGCAATGATGTTGTGGTGTGGGAGGGGGGCGAAAATTCCACTTCAAGTGGGGAGGAAGAAAAACACCGCAAATGTTCTGTAGTGTGGGAGGGGAGCGAAAATTCCACTTCAAGTGGGGAGGAACTAAAAGGAAATTACATAATCGGGGCAGGTAAACAGGAAGGCGCTGTTCTGGCAATAATACCAGATGCAATTAAGCAACAACGTCATGTTGGCCTGGGCCAAAATTACTCTGAAGAAAAAAAAGCCAATGACAAAATTGAGCCAGGTGAACCTAAAGCCATCGCCATAACTGTCACTACGGTGTCAGCAGATAGAAACAAACTACAGCATTGTGTCCCTGGCAACAGTTCACAAAATAAAAGCAATATTAATAACGCTGCCGACAGAATGATCACCAAAATGATGATGGCATTATTTGTTGCGTTTACTGTCTGCTGTATGCCTGTCATCCTGATGGCCTTTGCAGCCGACAAAGTCCCAGCAGAAGCCTTCACAGTCGGGCAGCTCCTGGCCGCACTAAACGGTGCTCTGAACCCGATCATATACGGCGTGATGAACAAAAATATCCGCCAGGGTACAAACATATCTGGGACAACGTGCTCAACTACATAACCTGAGTTTTATTTCATGAATCATTTTGGGAAGATGAACAGCCATGTGTTCTGGTCCAAAAGAAAAAAAAAATGCAGTATTGATTATATGTTATATAAATCGACAAAATCAAACAAAATCTTATCATGATCTCGATTTTCCTCAATTGATCTCGCATTTTGAATTTCGTGCGCAGTCCAAAAACATATGTCCGGTCCTGTATGATACAGTTTTTCTCGTAAACGTGATGTGCTAAATCTTTTATTTGGCATTTTTGGCTAAATGCATATGGCACACACACACACAACACCAGGTTTGTGTGAGGTATGTTCAACTACAGGTGTGCAATATTTTATGATTTTAGACCCTTTCCCCACTAGGATAAAATTGCCCGGATCGAACCAAATTGATTCGCTTTGATCCGGCTTCGAGCCGGATCCGGCTCCGAGCCGGATCAAAGCCGGATCAAAGCGAATCAATTCGACAAAATGCACAACTGACCTGATTTTCTAGCTGTGCCACTTAACTAATGCGTATACGTAGTCGTGTTTGGATTGGTACCTTCGTTCACAATGTATACAGTATATCAGTACTTTTATTGCCTTTTTAGCTTAAGTTACTTTAAACAGGAAGGCATTAGATATTAAAGCCAACCAGTGTCTTTGTAAATCTCCAAGCAGAAGTTTTGGTGGCTGCAAAGACATCTTTTAATTGCCCTGGCAATATCCATTGGCCAGGTAGTTGCCATTTGGCGCACGAGGTTTGGTTGCCGTTAAAGAAGTACAAAAAGGAGCCCGATAAAAACACCAAACCCTAAACATCTGCTTGGAGATCTAGAGTAATCGGTTGTATGAAAAATATGGATGTGCAATATGGTTATTATCCATCATTGAATACTCGGTGTCTCAAAGTATCGATGTAACGAAAAGTGTTTTCAAGTCACAAGTAACTCTATACCTCTTGTTCCCCATGTAATTTGTTGGTGACCTGGTGATTCGTCTAAGAAATCTAGAAGTACAGTTGGTGTGCAATGGAATAACTACTGAACAATGTCAAAAAAGAGTCAACTTTGGAACATTCACATAACTGTTTAGAGCTGAGAAATTCTAGCGTCAATATGACTCGCACTGTGCTGTATATGTGTATTCACGTAGTTTTCATTTAACTGCCATTTATTTTGCTTTTTACGATGGCTTGTTTGTATCACTAGATTACAATGGATGTATGGACATATTTGTTTCAGCATTGTTGATGTACAATGTGGTGATAATAAACGTTTGCAGTGCAAACATTCTTTACGTGTCATTAAAACTTATTGACGTCATGACATATCACTCATATTCTTAAGCCATTAGGTTGTATGTGGCCGTGTTCGCAAAGTAACATCTTCAGACACCCCCATCGATACAATAGAATAGTCCAAAAAAACTCTAGAACAACTCTAGTACCCTAGAACCACTTAGTAATTTAAGAAAACAGTTTCGCAAGCAACTAGAAACATTATGAAAACTCTCAGCCGTCCCTCCCCAACACACAATCCACCTCAAACACCTAAAGCTGAAATGCTGTAGAGGTCAAAGCTGAAATGCTGTAGAGGTCAAAGTCCTGGCCCGTGGGTGAATGCCCTGCCGGACTTTCCCCTTATATCACAAGTCTGGGTCAGGCGGCCATTGTATCGCTGCAGGTAAGTTTGCAATGTTCTTGTTCCTTCAGTAGCGACTACCACAGGCCTATTAACACATATGATTCAGTGTTAGACGTTTAAGCATCCAGGCTTCCAAGTTCAGCAACAGCGGGGTCAATAGATATCTTTGGGCCCGTTACTTCGGGCCCAAAATGGTAGCTGCCGGCAAAGTTCTATCACAGGGCTACGTACAGTAAATATGAATAATATAAAAGTATTCGCACGGGTGTTGCACGATTGTTTCAGGGGAAAAATGAGTAACCAGGTGCAGCTGTTGGTGACTCCAACCAAAGCCCTGGTTGATGACAAGGTGGACATCACCGTGGAGAGGCTTGCTCCCGGACAGCCGGTCACCTTACATGCACGGCTGGTGGAGGGGACGGCCCGCTTCCAGTCATACGCACATTACAGGGCTGATGACACGGGGAGAGTTGTCGTGGCCAAACAGCCTTCACTGGGAGGGCTCTATGCGGGTACATTTTTGTCAAGTACTCGTCAATCTTTTCGGTTAGCTGTAATGGTTGGCGAACATATACTGACGCACTGCATTTTCAGACAAAGCCATCTGTTTTGTACTTCCGGGTACGGAAGCATTGATTTTGGGTAGGTTTGTATCCTTGTACAGGCAGAGTATTGTACAAATGTAGGTTGACAGAACGTGGGAGGGGGGATTGACAGGCAGGATGACATGAGGTAAAAATGTTAGACATTGGGAAACGGGGTGACCTTAAAGGTCCCAGGATCTGGCCAGGAGCCAGCAGGAACCAACAAGTATTAGGAGAGCCCAACACAAAAGTTGGTGGCAGCGGTGGGATACAACAGCAACAATATGTGTAGCCCAGCCTTATCTATAGTACATGTACTTCAAACATTTGTAAAAGGATTTTGAAAAGTTCATGTCTATGACGGACAGGTATTGAACAGATGGGTCTGTTCTGGAGCATGCAGCCCTCACCTGGTCAGAAGCCTGGACTCCGACTGAGGAAGAAAGACGTGTCCACACCATTCCTGGTAGAAGTCAGCGTGCACGAAGGAAACGTTGCTGTGATGGGAGAAAAGAACTTGGCCTGTCTCGCAACTAAGACAATCGAGAGATGGTATCTGGGGGACGATGTGAAGAGGATACCTGTGAAAGAAGGGCGTGTCCGTGGAACGTTATTTCTACCTCCAGGTGAGATGTGAGATGAGTGAGTCCTGCTTTCATTTCTGTAGAAAACACAAACAAGAGATCCTGGGTATACCAAATGGAACATTTAATAACTCGTTTCTAGCATATTTTGGTATATGAAATACGTGCACACAAGACTTAACACTTCAGCTACAGTAGGTTTCAGGAGGCATCCGCCATCTTTCAGCAATTCTTTAAAAGTTGTCACATGATGTTGTCACGTGACCTACTTGTTAAAGGTCACACAGGTCACGTGAACGGGCGAGGGGGTTGTAGATGTAGGGGGTGAGCAGTGGCGGACTATCTCCTCTGCAATATTTCACCATTTGTTGCATTTCGACCTGATGTCTATTGCAGGTAAAGGCCCGTTTGCCGGTGTCGTAGATATCTTCGGATCGACCGGAGGTTTGCCGGAGTACCGCGCGGCGTTGCTGGCATCCCGGGGCTTTGCTGCGCTGGCCCTGCCTTACTTTGGTTATGACGACCTCCCAGAAAACATTTCCGACATTGATCTGGATTACTTTGAGGTACACCATCATTGATAACAAAAGCATTGGACTACTTTCGTGCACTGGTTACAAATCACTCTCATATATCTCGATAATGTGACTGTCTATGGGAACTATAGAGAAAACAGATTACACAAATGGTACGCATTTGTGTAATCTGTAATCAAGTCAAACTTACTGAAAGACACAAAGAATTAACTGATAAACTAACTCTATTTCATTTCCGAAAATAGTTTCATTAGGTTGGTAAAACTTAAGAGATAGGGGAATTCTTTTTACACAACCAAAGGGTCACACCTCGTTGACGTGTCGGTGATGTAAGCGCCACCTACATCGGCTACATATAGCGGCGAGATGCAGTACTCCAGTCAGAAGCTCTGAGGAAGGTGTCTGACAGACACCGAAATGTCAGCGAGGTGAGACCCTTTGGTTGTGAAAAAAGAATTCCCCTATCTCTTAACTCTATTTCAGATGTTAAAAAAACGACAACTCTACTAGTACGTTACGAGGATCTAACGTAGAACGTGTGTTCTGTATCACGTTTCCATATGAGATAACATCCATGGTGACTTGCAATGAAAAATTAACGCGGTTGGTTGCATTGTCACAGTCCACAAAGGTGGTGGCAGCGGTGGGATACAACGAAAAATATATGTGTAGCCCAGCCTTATGACATTTATCACAATGTTGGTTTGTACATCCTGACACAGGAAGCGGTGGACTGGTTCCTAAGTCTTCCAAATGTCCGAATCCGAGGTGTGGGTGTTTTAGCCACTTCGTATGGAGGACATTTGGCTTTGTGTATGGCGGTGTACATGAACAAGGTATAACAAAATACGAGTTGTATTTTTTTGGCAACGCTTATGTCGCGAACCTAATCATAGTATAGTTTTGTTGTACTTGTTGTATCGGGTTTCCCTGGTACGTTACTGGTTTAAGCGAATTCACTTTTGCATGTTCAGGTGGATGCAGTTGCAGTCATAGGATCTTACACTGCTGTGGTCGGGAATCCACTGCCATACAAGAGTAAGGTCTTACCCTGTGCAAGGTAAGCTGATTCAGTTTTCGTGATGCATTTGTCGTAGGTCATATGTAGTACGATTTTGATGCTGCGACATTTTTAAAAGTCGGTGTGACATAATCAACTACCAGCAAGGATTAGCCTGGAGTCTAGCCTTGTTACTTTGTAGCTTTAGCCTGCTCCCCAAGATCCACTACCCCGCCAACAAATGTATTCAAAGGCCAGCATATGGTTAAATCGATGTTGTTCTATGCTATAGTAATTCTTGTACATTGTAATTGTACTTCAATGCCTGATTTCCTTTCCTTACCCCCATTTGCAGATTTGTACTAGATCAAGTTATATTCACCAAAGAGGGGTTTGCATACTCAGGGAATTTACTGGAGGATACCACCAAAGATCCAGGCCGGAAAGCATGCATTCAGGTCAGAACATCTTACCTTCTACCGGGTCCGATTTAAGCATTCGACCAAACTTTTATTTTACCAAAAACTCATCGTAATTGTAAAGATGATGCCGGGTGATCGCGTGATTGAGCAAAGCATGGGTGTTGCTGTTTTTTTATCATTCGGCCAAGAACACTGAACATAATAATCAGATGATTAAGCCTGCATAATTATACTCGTTACTGAGACTTAAAGATTTTACCGTACACTTTACGGACCGACGAAAAGCTAGGGTCAATGTGGCATTTAAGCAACCGTAGATATTACGGAAAGATACTGACAAACAGGACCTTAATTTTCAGAAGTGAATAATGGATGTTTCAGGTGGAGAAGACTCAGTGCCCCATCATGTTCGTGGCAGGAGAGGATGATCTTAATGTAAAATCAGTTCTCTATGCAAATCAGGTATGGGATGACTTTATCTATTACATAATAATAATAAGGTGACCGTTATTTGTACATCCTTTTTACCACTGTATGGCGACGTTTTTGCCATACAGCAATATAAGGTTCATGACATGCCTCGAGTCGAGGTGCATACGGTGTCTCAAGGCGAGGTCGGTTTCTATAACCATCGAATAAACCGTCGAGTGAGCGAAGCAGTTCTTACCTTCAACTGGCATATTTGAACCGCACAATTTTCTTATGAACTATTCCATGTATCCCACAGGCCATTGCTAGAATGAAGGATCATGGGAAGACTAACTACACCCTACTGAGTTACCCCTGGGCAGGTCACCTGATCGAGCCACCATACACGCCTCATTGTGGCGTGTGCTACCACGCTGTTTACGGTAGGTATTGATGTTGCTTCTTTTTTTTTTACCTCCGGGGAAGGAAGGAGACACCATTCCATGGGAATCTGCTGTTTTCGGTTGTTATGTTTGTGTGTTTGCGGCTGTAACTCACGGTGGGTTTTTTTTTTTTTTTCAAAATATGATTGCTTATTGGGGCCTGGTTGATGCAGATTCTGGTTTCGGGGGTGTTTGTGTGTGTGTGTTTGTGTGTGTGTGTGTTTGTGTGCGTGTGTGTGTGTGTGTGTGTGTGTGTGTGTGTGTGTGTGTGTGTGTGTGTGTGTGTGTGTGTGTGTGTGTGTGTGTGTGTGTGTGTGTGTGTGTGTGTGTGTGTGTGTGTGTGTGTGTGTGTGTGTGTGTGTGTGTGTGTGTGTGTGTGTGCGTGTGTGTGTGTGTGCGTGTGTGTGTGCGTGCGTGTCGTGTCGTGTGTGTGTGTGTGTGTGTGTGTGTGTGTGCGTGTGTGTGTGCGTGTGTGTGTGTGTTCTTGTTCGTGTTCGTGTGTGTGCGTGTGTGCGTGCGTGCGTGTGTGTGTGCGTGCGTGCGTGTGTGTGTGTGCGTGTGTGTGTGTGTTTGCATGCCTGTTCGTATGTATTTGAATGCAGATTGATTTGATGTACAAATTGATTTTTTCAGCGTACAAACAATACAATACATAGTGGTGACACGCTCAAGCGATATGCCTTATATTCACTAGACATGGAATGAAAATTGTTGCTACAGTAACCCCGTGTTGTAACTATTAACATTTGTGTTTCTAGATAAGTGTGTCCTCATGGGTGGGGAGCCTAAAGGCCACGCCGCGGCCCAGGAGGACTCTTGGCACAAGATCCTGGATTTCTTTAGGGCACATGTAGGCAGCAGTGCCCATAGCAAACTATAATGGTCCTTTTTCTCAAATCTTTGCTAATTGCTTTAATTGACTGCTTTATCAACTGTGCAATACTTCGTAACTGTATCTTAATATAATACCCTGTCTAGTCCATATAGATAGGAATATTATTGGCATAAAAAATACATAATGAATAATAGTACTGGTATCTTTTTTTCCCGGCAGCTGTTTGTAATGCATCAAATGATGTCTCAGACATAAATATCAGTGCATATACATATCTGAAATGAATATTTGATGCTAACTATACATGTAAATATCCATATTTCTTGTCTATGTATGTTTGTACTTTTTCATTACCTTGCCAAATGAAATTTGTACAATCTACGTACATTGTACCCCAATACCAGATGTCATTTGGCTGGGAAAATATGAGTTGAATCCATATTTACCGAATTGCAGGTGAAGAAATAAAGAAGACGAATTCGAAACATCAGGCAAAATTACATGTTTCCCTCCAAAACCCGTTGTATGAAGTATGATATAAAAGAAGCTGTGTACGCTTTAACTGATATTAAAATCTAGGACAAATTAAAAACACAGACGTCTGCTTTTTTGAAATAGAAGTAAGTTCAGGTGATACAAATTGATTCTCAGTCATCAGGCTATGCTTGAAACGACTGGATCGAATGTCACGTTTTTTTACGTTTTTCTTTTCTACTGTTACCATAAGAGAACGCTCTAAAGGGCGAATAGAGATCCACATAACGAACGTCACCCTGCTTTACATATTCATAGCCAACCAATGACGCACCGCGGCCCATACGGGATTAGGCCACACCATGTAATTTTTTCCCTGGATGACGTCCGGGCGCGCATTTATTTTGGCCTGTTTCCAGATAAAAAAAATAACAGGAAATTCTGCTGAATAGCAAAGTTCTTTGATCACAACCATTTATTTTTTTACGAGCCGACGTTTGGATGACCGTCTGTCATCTTCATCAGGGCAATTCTGACTGGTTTGCTGTGCACTGACGCTAGATGTTACTTGGTGCATAGGGCACTAAAGGTGTTACATGGTTCACAGTGCACTGTTACTCGTAAAAAAAATAAATGGTTTCATATTAATTCGTTTACCAACCTGATAAAATTATTTGCTGAAGGCATTCTGCCTCCTGTAAATATTACTAGAGAGCTATGACGGTGCCGTAAGTCTCAAGATTGCAAGATGTGATGAAAGAAACGAAACAGGGCAGGTCCGGACGACAACTAATTTTTACTGATTTATTGCTGTTTTCATGACGAATAAAATGGATTGTTGGATGTTACACTGTTATCTCATTCAATTTGTATCCTAACATTTTTCGTTCCTTAGCATATGTCAAATCTAGGTATCTTATTTTTTCTGCCCTTCTTGATTTTTCGCGCTCTTGCATTAGATTTAGGGTCTCCAGAGGACGCCATCCATAAAATTACTTAGTTAGGCCTACTATTACCTTCCCTAGTGTAAGAAAACGTGTCTTCCTCCTCGTGGAAGAAAACGTGCGTCACAGACAATCAATTCTACTTCTATCTCCAAGAAATGATTACCACCTACTGATTGATTTCCTTACAAGTCAGCGCTTGGTAAATTGAAGACACTGGTCTGAATTGGTTCAGTTTATGAATAAGATAGTGTCCTGCGTCACTCATGGTATATAACACGATGAATATTAATTTATCGATACAATCATACATGCAGATATCTAAGGCGACAAGACCGGAGCACACATAACATCAAAATGTTGCGAATCGAGGCACTGGTTTTGGTTCTCCTGGTATCCAGCCATTTTATTTCCGCCATTTCACCCCCTCTACTCTGTCCGGACGTCTGCCACACGAGCGACGAATATGGAGTCGGATGGGACAAAAAGAAAGGCCTTTTCTGTACCTGTCCTAGAGAAGATATAAAGAATGTACGGCCCTGCAGTTGGATCGGATACGAAGTACGTGTTACATATCCGGTGTGCCTGGACACAATACCAACCGACTTCGACCGAGAGACTCGCTCGATTTACATCAAGCATCTCCGCTCTGCTACAGTCATGGAGCGGTCTTTTCTACACGTCCCAAACCTGCACCTGTTGAAGATAGAGAGGTCCAACGTTTCCACCATCCAGCCGGGGGCTTTTCATGGCCTCTCCTCGGTGGAGAGACTCTTTCTGAATGGCAACCGTATCTCCAGTCTAGGTGAGTTGTCAGTGATACTAACCCTTTTTTTTTTGTCTTTTAGTACATTTTTTTATTTACAACATAATCATGATAGCAATAACCTCTCGCTGATTTTGAAGACTCATCTATTATTTTGTACCAAGAAGAGAACAAAATAGTGGGTTTGATGCATGCCGTTTATACATATATACATTCTTTTGTTTATACATATATACATTCAATTTCTTTGAAAAGCCGGAGTGGCTTTCTTTCTTAATATAAGAGTGTCATTGGGTAGGGAATATCAACTGTTCAGTCGTTTTAACGAAACTTAAAAGTTGAAACGTAAACGTGAATGAATGAATGAATGAATGAATGAATGAATGAATGAATGAATGAATGAATGAATGAATGAATGAATGAATGAATGAATGAATGAATGAATGAATGAATGAATGAATGAATGAATGAATGAATGACTTTATATTTACGTGTCTCGCGATTTTTGTCGCCCAGCCCATATGGGCTTATAAGACACCAGAAAATAAACATGAACATAAACATAGGTACAGAAATCATAGAAACGTTAATCCAAGTCATATAATTTGGCGAATCTACTATAGTTCTATTGCTATTTATTCATGATGAATTTTTTGTTTTGTTTATCATTAGAGGCTTACACTTTCCTTGGACTCAAGAAACTAGAATACTTGTACCTTCAAAGGAATCGGATTTCAACGATATCCCATCATGCTTTTTACGGCCTACCTGACATTGAAACACTGCGCATGTCCCAAAACTACCTGAGTTCCGTGCCCGTCGAAGCCCTTCTACCGCTGAAGCAACTGATGATTGCAAATCTTCATGGAAATGTCATCACGACCATCGACAGCAAAGCCAGGCGTCTGAACCAAATTCCAAGTTTGTTTCTCATGGTCGGGTTGAACAAGCTGAGGTGCGACGAGAAGCTAACGTGGTTTATTTGCAACCTGCAACAGCTGACCTTCGTCAGTTTTCGCAAGGCGCTGAAGTGCCAATCGCCCGCCAATCTGCGTGAAACGTCTCTCATTGAGAGGGCTAAGAGTGTCTGTCAGACCAAACATACGGACGGCTGGTCGTCATCACAAGAGATCGCGTCTGAATTGTACAACGAGACCATTCCCACTGAAGATACCGACACCGATGTACCATGCACAAACGTCAGAACTGGCAAGATCGTTTCCGTGCAGAGCTTTACCAATATGGCCAACCTAACAGTACATGAGCAAACGACTTTTAAAACAGACGTCCTTATTCCTGTTCAGGGAAACTCAATCCCAAATGACAAGGAGGGATGGATTTCGTATTTTGCTATAATCATTGTCGCCTTTGCGGTGCCCTTTCTCATTCTGTTGGCGTCGTTGATGGTTGTTTTCCTCCTCAACCGCCGCCGACGCAAACGCCTGCCCCGCCCCAACGTCACTCCCGGAACAAACAATGAAGAATCTGCATCTCCTGATACAGGAGGTAGCCACAGAATCGTGCCGTATGCAGTGGCCTACATGGACTCGGAAGAACTGCGGGCGACTGTTAGAACTAGAAACAGACCATCGGAAGACGATGCCATTCAGCCGTACGCAGTGGCATACATGTACGCCAACGTAGCAGGAAGAGGAGGGGTCGGCAAACATCCGCCGAGTGCAGGGACCAATGGTGAAAGACTGCAGCTGCCGCCGTCCGCAAGGGCACGAAACAATGCTTCACAATCAGGCAATGACCACCGGATTTTGCAATGTGCAACGACGCCCGTTGACAACCAAGACCAAGACGACAGCTACGAAACCCAACCGTATGCAATAGGCTATCCGGACATCCGGCTGCCACCGTCTGCAAGGGCACGAAACAATGCTTCACGACCAAGCAATGACCACAGGCTTTCGCAATGTGCAACGTTAACAAGGCGCGTAAACAACCAACAAGGCCAACAAGACAGCTACGAAGTCCAACCGTATGCGATCGGCTATCCGGACTCTCCTCCAGAGGCTAGGAGCACTGCAGAGACCGGTCACTCACCACTTGAACATGACCATAGGCTTTCGCAATGTGCAACGACGCGCGTTGACGACCAAGGGCAAGACGACAGCAACGAAATCCAACCGTATGCGATCGGCTATCCGGACCCCCCTCCAGAGGCTAGGAGCATTGCAGAGACTGGTCACTCACCACTTGAACATGACCATAGGCTTTCGCAATGTGCAACGACGGGCGTTGACAACCACGGGCAAGGCGACAGCAACGAAATCCAACCGTATGCAATCGGCTATCCGGACTCCCCTCCAGCGGCTAGGAGCATTGCAGAGACTGGTCACTCACCACTTGAACATGTCACAAACTAACAGGCAACAAACGTCGAACAGCCGGTCGCACAAACACGCGATCGGATGTACCGATGGCAACAGCAGTCGACATACACCCAAAATATGAAAACAATGGAGCAGGAAGGATCAATTCAACAACCTTCAGTGAGGTTCCAGGTGCAAGTAGGACGTTGCAGCACGTTTGAGCAAAAAATCCTGAATCGTCTAACGTCCTGTAAAATTCACCTGATGGCTGTATGACAAACGGACGTCCAGAATTGTATAAAGATCAGCAAATGGACAATATTGCCAATGGATCCTAAACAGCATTTACATGTACATGTAGATACCTCGTTGAGCGTAAGGACAGTGAATGTAAGGTTTTTAATTATATATAATATGCATATATATTTTACGTTCTTCATGTCTGTTACTGTGACTAAAGTCTTGTAATTCCATCTGCACTTCCACCATCTAAAATTCCAGAATAGACTTTTTTGTTTGTATAAGACTGTAATTAGGTGGAGAATATGATTATTGATTAATGCAAATGAGGATCTTATTTACATAAACAGTGAGAAACATTAAGAATTTGATGCGCGTAGCAGGCAGAGGTATGATATCGTGGAACTCTAGTTGACTAGTACATTCTTCAGGGGGCCGGTTTAGACCACGGAAACGCATAGTTTCTAGCTGAGTAGGTTGGGACTCGTGCATGAACTTTGACCCTGTGTTTCCTTGAGCTCCCCGAGAAGGCGATGACGTTTTTCTAGCCGGAGGGTGTTTGAACTAAACTGCCGAACCTTTTGTAGAATCTCGGCTTTTTTGCTGTGTCATTCAAAAGGCACAATCTAACTGTAGCCGAGTCCACTGAAAGTTAGTCTTGAAACGTTACCTGTTTATTTCGTAGCCAAGAGATCTAGAAGTGTGAACATGGGGAGGATACTAGTATTCGCGGTAGTTTTGATGGTGACTGTCTGTACAACAGGTAAGTAGAATGCATACGTGACACTCATGTTAACCATGTCGCCATTGATTCACTGAGTGTGACCCACTGTGACCTAAGTAGTAGTAGTATCATGAATGCTTTTGTTCATTTAGTGTACATCAAGCTCAGAATGACACACTTCTGTATAGATTTAACTAAATTCTGAGTGGACGAATTCGCAGCTTAAATAATAGTTGGATATGTTCACTCAGTTCATATTTAGTTTCCCAATGTACAGACAAGGATACGGAATTATGTATCTCCTCTAATTATGAAATGTGTGAGTTTATTTGCCGTGTTAGTAAGACATCAGTGCAGTGTAAAGAACAGTAAATATTGCTTGTTTTCAGTTTAATACATCCTAAATTGTGCAACCTTAACATTTAAGAAGGTAACAAGGAAACGTTGATCACAAGGAGGAAGCAATAATCACATAGAGAAAGTCGCATGGTTAGAAAAAATGTAAGAAAGTCCCCATAAGATTTGTTTGCTTGGTGATTAGCTTCTAGAATCTAGCTGGTATCAGGCGTACCATTTGTACTTTACATGTAGCTCTCAGGTACACAGACAAGAAATCACGGAAAACGTCTCTACGGCTTTCACGTATTCTGTCATTTTTAATCCCGATAGTTTTAGATGAGTGTGTGAACAGTGCAGTGATGAGTAGCAGTTCTGAAAGTGAACCTTCTACATGAAATAATGTGTTATCTATGCCATATACATGACACAGAGTCCAGTGACATCTCTATCTGGTACACTAATGTCGACAAAGGTCACTAAACAAAAGCGTCACCATTTGTTGGGTGGGGCGTCAGACAAAAGTTGCAGAACGAGTTTCTGGCGTGTCCATCGCTCGGAATGTTGTTTATGGTAAAACAACTCATCAGGCGTAAAACACGGCAGAAATGTATAGAAAATGAGGCATCTATGAGAAGAGTAGATGTCACAGAGTTACCCTCAAATCTGGTAGTCAAATACAGTTTCATAAATTTCATATTTTATGTATAGTAAAACCAGAATTCAACAAGTTGCGTTGTTGGTAGCCAAGTAAATATTGCCCTACGTTATAATGTCTGTAACGTTATAACATATGTTTTCTTGAGGGAGGCTCTCTATATAGATTACAAACCACTACAGGTAAAACAGCGGAGCTTCAAGTTTTGATCTGAAATGCTAAGTCCACGAATTTTGCATGGTAGATAGCTCTTGTGCTCGGATAGAAGTGACATGAGTTTAGGCTCCCTATCACTTTGCTCCGGAACTGCAGGGTTATTCGATGAAAAAAATATTTGAAGGGGAATATAACTCAGGAGCCGGTTGACGGAACGTCCTGATATTTGGTATGTATGTAGCTTAAGTGATACTTGATAAAATCAAAGTACAATTATGCAAATCAGGATCTCATTTGAATTATTAACATAATTAGGAAATTCAGAAAATCCGTTGCGTTCCATGATAGGACTGGACAAACTTGTGACATACATGTATGTAATTGAGAAGGTAAGGGACGTCGGCAGTATTTATAACGTAAATGAGACTTTGATGACTTCTGATTTTTTACCGAAACTTCAGTTGTCCATGCCGGGCAGCGATGTGGGTCTGGCTTCACCAGTTTCACCTGCCCACGTCCGATCTTCGACGATTCCGACGAGGAATACTGCTGCGCGGGAAACAGCTGCTGTGATAGATGCTGGAGCTCCATCGTGGACACGTCCTCTTGTATCGGGATCAACAACTTTGGCGACACCGCTTATAAGGCGTTTCGACTAGGGTACTTTTTTTATTTCAGTTTATACCATAAGTATTGGAACAGTCCATTTTATAGGGAGATTGGCTGAAATCTGTTGTATTTGCTCCCGAACAAATCCTCTCTGGTACTTTGATTATTTTCCCTATATAGATAAGATAACGTCATACTGTCTAGTACATTCTGATGCCATGAGGGGAGGGACGAAGAAAACTGCGCATTTCTGAGCAAAATTTGCACAGTAAAAATCGTGGTGCACAAATTGCCTTTTTTTGCGCATGCCGATCAGAAGGCCCGTCCCCATGATATATATTGTTTCAAAATGTGACTATTCTAGCCTTGTGACTGAAAGGAAAGTTAAGGAAAACATAACGTGATACATATGCCATTATGAGAAGTTAAAGACTGGACTTTAACTTCCAACACTAGATACAGAATTGAGACTTACCCCAAATTTTCGGCTGACTCCATCAACCTTGTTCACGGAATGGACCCGTCTACTCTTGGAACGTGACGTCAGAGACACGTGACCGTAGTAGCGGGTCATACGTGCCAGATAACTTGTGTCGCCCCCCGTCTCTGTTCAGGGTAGGTCTGTGAGCTCTTATGTAGACCGCCTCCTTAACTCCTCTTGCAAAACATGTGAAACATATGTCGTCCTATGTCGTCCCAGTGTCGGCGCCCTCATCGGCATCATTGTGGGAGGCATCGTCTTCGTCATCATCATCGTGGCGCTCTGTGTCTTGTGCTGTTGCGCATGCGCCAAGGGGAACCAGAGAAGCCAACCACAGGGTAAAGATCTACATATTCAAATTCACGACAGGGGTGACGGGTTGGATCCAAGTTAGTCCCCGCAACTTGTATTTATCAAGCAGTTTTTCACTGGCCCAGAAAAATTCACGTTGTTTTTCCAGTTTTAGTCCTGAAAAGAACTTCAAGATATTCTTGTAAATTATGACGATTAAAGCATTATTTCGTTAATCATTCCTGCTACCTTTATCAGATATTTATTATATCCAAGCATATATATTGTCAGTTGTTTTGCTTGGTTTTCTTGTGGTATAACAATTAGACATCACTTTTTCCCTCACAGCTGTCCAAATGGCTCCGGTCGCCCATCCCGTGCAGTCTCCACCCGGCCAGTATCCCCAGTACCCCCCTGCACAGCCTCCTGCCTACCCACAGTACCCGGCTGGACAACCCCCAGCCTACCCTCAAAACCCAGCCTACCCACCTAAGGTTTAGGCCACAATCGTTGTGACCTCAGGCGACACCGCAACAGTTGGGTCGACAATACAGAAGAATGCATGATTCACATTATATGGCAAATTCGACATACATGTATGTAGTATTATATCAAGTCAGATATCTGTACAATTATGGGACATAAAGCATGCAATTAGAATCTATGCTATAGCTGATAAGATACAAATTTACCAATACAACTAGTACTAGTGATGCATGCAGCAATATGTTTTTGTATCATTCAAAATCATGTGTACAAATATCATAATGAATATCGAAAAGGATCCATATCCGCAAAGATTATAGTTTTAGACATAGTTTGTAGAAAGTATATAAGATAAGAGTGTGCTTTTTCGTGATTTCTGATACTCTGTAGTATACTGTAGCTGTATTATTAGTAGTACCCATTCATAACACACAAGTCGTGTACATGCCGAAATCCCTATATCTAACGTAGTTTTATATATCATGTAGTATCATATGCTTTCTATGTTATTGAAATAGCCAACATGCACTTTTAAAGAAATCATGCTGGGCAAAATGTGATATTTTGTTCTACAAATGACTAAAGAAGTGTACTAAGTTGATTTCTGTCATCATCTGAAATAAATTCTGGCAAGTTATGATATTGTAGTGTCCTTTGTGGAATAGATGTCACTGGAAGAGTTGTTCCACTGCTAGTAAAATATATCAGTATTACGTCTACATCTCACCTTGAGTGTCTTAGTAGTGAAGTCCCGTCCATATAACCTGATATTTACTTACCAAAACAAGAAATCTGGGGAGTTTTAGATTTCCAAAGACTGCTTTTTGATTTGATTAGATTTGATTTATTATACTGTTGTCCTTTTGTCAGGCCGATTTTGAGTGTCTCTTAAACTTTAAGTTAGCTGAAACTTTTTTCTTTGAAAGGCCTGGCCTTGAAAATGGGGTGGGTGAGCACGTCGGCAGAACGTACTGCACCTGCGTGAAACCCGTAATGTATTGTACATAGCACTTCGGCAGAACGTCTCATATAAGGTTGTATTCGCTCATATAAGGTTAGCATTTCGACAGTAGTTTCCAAATGTTATGTCGGAAAGAATCTCCTCTGCAACAGGCAAAATTCTGATGCAACGTTGACCAAAAACCCAACGAAAAACGCGAAAATACGGGGTTCTGCGCAGGCTACGTTCTGCCGACGTGCTGGGTGGGTGGGGGCAAGAGTTACTAGTACTTAAAGAATACAGCAACGAAGGCCTGTGCTACCGTACTCGACGGTTTGCTCGTAAATAACCATGTCACAAAAATGGGATTACGTCGTTTGTCGCCCAAAGGGGTGAAACTTGCCTAACTTCTTTGAGCTGAAACGTCACACAAAACTCCATGTACGGCTGGGTGTAAAGGCCTGACTCGCTGTCTAACATACAGGAACGTTCACTCGTTTATCGTTCCTGTTACCGTTTTTTTATACCGCATGTATCTCCCAAGAGACGTGTGATGATGTTACGGATGGTGCTGGTAGTCCTGTTGGGCGCTTTTTGGACGATAGGTAAGTCTATCGACTCTATGTGTTACACAATCACGGCCGTGTCCAAACGCAAGCACACCCGGAAATTAGACCGGTATAGGGGCTGCGACACAAGCATGCACAGTGAGACCAGGTCACTGAGGTACAGAAAGCTTTGGCGTCAAAATTTGTTCTGCTTATTTGTTTGTTTGTATTGCATTTGCTGACAACAAACCGTTGGTTGGTATCGAAATAGACCTACCAGCAAAACGTACTATTTAAGAATCGGAAGACACAATTTTGATGCAGTTTAGTTCTTAAATAATCATCGCAGCGACAGGGAAACAAATATATTCTTAAACAGGCATTGTGTAACATTTTTGCACAATTTTCGTATGAATCAGTATGATTGTAATATCCTTCCACTTTTCAAAATATTTTCAATGCAATCATTTTCAATGCAACATTTTTTTTTATTTTTATGCCAAATACCTGACAAATACAATGTCACACGAAGCGCACTCAGTTTGTACTACCACCACAAAATACCAGAATGTAAAGAAACATGGCTAACAGCTGTGTTTCTAACTTTAAAACATACTTGCGAGGTGTCACATTTTTTTCACTTCCAGTTCTTTAATGTTTTGACTGGTTGATCAAACTTACGTTGTAAAGGAAAGATCAGAAAATTTACGTTATCGTCCTAATGTTGAATGCAGCTCTAACATTTAACCACGATTACGAATTTAGATTGTGATAACCTGGTGATTGTTTGTTTTTGTGAACTATGGTGAGAAGGGAAGCAGGGAGACCTTTCCGACGGGCTGCAAAAGTCCCATCATGCCTCTGTTAGGGAGAGGACGTCTGTCGGTGGGGGGGGGGGGGGGGGCTGGTGGGGAGGGGGGCCGCTTATCAAGAATAAGCTGCAGAACAAGTTCGGTATCCCGCCATGATCTGTTGAATCCTTTGTGTATGTAACGTTGACAGCTACATAGCCCCAGGGATGACAACAATGATATAGGACAGCATATTGTCGTGCGTGATAATGTAATCATAGGATGTAAGGAAATCACTAAGTAAATAATCTCATGAATTGTCCTCAGGTTTAATAATACTAGACACAATATGCAACAATGTGATCCTGAAACCGTTTACATCAAGAAAGGGCGTAGAACTGTAGATTGATGAATGTACCTTTTCTGTACAGAAGCTACTCTGGGTGCCAGACTCGTATCGGGCCGTTGGCCGTTTTCCCTTCGGCAGCCAAGAGCCCTTCGCCTGCTTCAAGGGAGTTGAGCCGGACGGGAGTTAGTAGTAGCAAGTGTGTGGGAGGCCGGTATGTCGGGGAGGGCGGTATAGTATCCAGCCGCCCGGAGCGCCAGGACGGTCTGGGGTGGGTCAGGGCGGGCTCGGATGGTCAGGGACGGCGTCCAGGGCAGCCGGGACGCTTTTCTCTTTACAGAGGCTGACGCACTGAAACCCGCGGAGTCTGGCACCCAGGGTATAGAGAAGCAGCATTGCACAAGTATGCGACGTATGGGACGACGTCTGATTTTTGATACCTTACGTATATTGTATAGATGGCGCCCAGGTTTGTCGGACAGCACACGGGCGATCCTTCAGCTGCCCACAGTCGCTGCTGTACAAGTTCGACCCCGCCGACATCTACTGTTGCGGGAGGGTGTGCTGCTCAGACCCCTGCAGATCCACCGTCAGCAGGCCCGACAGCTGTATGGGAGACGCCAAAAACTTTTTCAATATGAAGTAGGTGATAGTCTTGTTAAACTTTTAAATAAAAAGATGTTTTTGGTTTGATTTTTCTGTTAATGACCACGATCATGATAATGATCATTCTGGCATTTTCACCTGATCGAAGTGAGGAAAGTTTTGTATAAAGCGACTTCCATGTCACACAAGGTTGGTTTCATGGCAAGATTCGAACCCGGGACCTCTTGGTTTTGAACCGAATCCTCTGGCGTTACGCAACGTGACTGCGCAATACTACAACTGTAAAACAAGCTAGACCCTACATCTTCTCAAAGATTATGTTGTTGAGATTACGTTCGACAGCAAAGATGAAGTATGTATTTCAATAAATGTATAAAAGTTTCTAGTAGCGACAGATGTACAAAACAATCACCCCCGCCCTCCCTTTTATTGTTAGTATCGGCGCCATCGTCGGAATAGTAGTGGGAGTCATCACTGTTACCGTTATCGTCGTTGGTGCCATTATATGGTGTAACGGAAAGGCAAGGAAGAACATCAAGAAGGCCCAAACGAGTTCGTATGGTAAGTCTATCGAGTTAAATAGGAAGAATGACTTTTGATGGAGCTTTGTTCAAGTGGGGCATTTATTCTATGATTTGCTTGAGTTATATAGTAACTTTTATTGTACAACAATTGTATCAAGTACAACGTATGGCATTTCCTGGTAAAAGTCGTATTTACCAAATAATGTAGTAAAGTCCGGAAATATTTATACTTTGTACACAGTACCTCGTTTTACAATGTTTGTCAAGGAAGTCAAGTACAGTAATTTCATTTACAAGTCTTGTTAAGTCCGGAATTTCCGTAATTGACTTTGATTTACTACGATTATTAAGTCCAGTAGTGTTACGCAACTCAACTGGTATCTACAGGTATAAAATGCAAATGTTTTGTGCAGTGTGGTATGTGCCCGAATTGTCATTGCAAGGACATTCACGTACTCGATGTGAAATTAACACCGTTCCAAAATTACCTGGATAAGAAGTTTCTTTTAATTTTTGTAGTCAGCCGTTACCAGCTAAGTGTGCCGGTGCTGACCTGGTATCATTGTCAAAATACAAAATACAAGGCATCTCCATTTCCCTCCAGAAATACAAATGACGGCCATTCCCCAGTCTTCACCGCCACCTACCCCGGGTCCCCTACACAGCCACCGGCCTCTCCGAGGTACCCACCGTCTTCACCGCCGCCTACCCCGGGCGTCAAGTACCCTGCACAGCCGCCGGCCTCCCCACGGTTCCCACCGTCTTCACCGCCGCCTACCCCGGGCGTCAAGTACCCTGCCCAGCCGCCGGCCTCTCCGCGGTATCCACCGTCTTCACCGCCGCCTACCCCGGGCGTCAAGTACCCTGCACAGCCGCCGGCCTCTCCGCGGTACCCACCGTCTTCACCGCCGCCTACCCCGGGCGTCAAGTACCCAGCCCAGCCGCCGGCCTCTCCACGGTCGCCACTGTCTTCACCTCCGCGTACACGACAAGATGGGCATTCAGTTTTCGTTTTTTAGCAACACTTAAGATTTAGGAACTCCATATCCGGGTGTGCGAAAATGTAGTACATGTAAATACCATATGTAGAGGGATAATGAATTTAATCACTTATCAGTAGGTAAAGACAGGCTAATATATATATTTTTTTCGACAATGGCAATGCTTATGCTGTAAATTTCGCACCAAACTATATGATAAAACGTCTTCATAATTCAAATTTTCTTCTGAAGTATCTATATATTATCTATATCTAATGAAATCTTTTATGCTCTAGATCTAAACTAAGAGCATATAAATGTAGTACAGTGGATGTAATTTGTCCATCCTAATGATATGCAAAAAGTATTATAGGTGGCGATCTAAAACTCTGGTTTGATCCGTGGATCGTGTTCTATCTACTAGTATCTTTTACAAGAATTCGGAAAAAGACCTCATAATTTAGATCTTTTTTTGGGGGGGGGGTCGTTGATTGTAGAAATGAGCTACTAGGAAGCCCACATGTGACCTTGACCTTTATCTTCCTATATAAGACATACCCGCATACCAATTATATATCATCAAAGTCCTTTTTATATAATAAGTTATGTCGACCGGTACCAAAAATATGCGGACACACACACACACACACATGACAGATACACACAAATACACCAAAAAAACCACGATAATAACATGACAAACAAGAGAATAAACATTTCACTGGGGCATAGCAATGTGGATTCTAGAGCCATGTGTTTTTTAAAGCCGTTCCCTTTCCTGTGAATATGCTGAGCTGAGCATTATAAATGTGGAAGTCCTTGAACGCTGCTAGACCAGCCAAATTCGGGCAAGTGTTCTTCCGGTGGAACTTCTATCCTGGTACGGAAGTGAGACCACAGAGTGACAACATACGTCACTTCCGGTCTGTGCACGAGTGACGTAACGGTACATGACACAGGGCTAATCATAAGACCAGTTCATTTCCTCCTCTGAACACACTTGCGACACTCCGCAGTGCCATAACTACCCAACAGTTCTTAGCTTCGTCGCAAAACAACGCAAAGGTTCGTGACCATGTTGCGGTTAACACCTGTTGTCATCGTCGCCATTTTCGCAACAGGTAAGGAATCGTTGTAGTTGTACATAGCGAGAACATCATACCAATTTTAAGAGATTGCTTAGAGTAACTAGTAGGGAAAAAGAGGAAGTATCTTTTGAGAAATCTGTGACATTTTAATTTTCACTCTGACGATATCGCAGACTGACATTCTTTCCTAAGTACTGTGCTATCAGGTGACTGAAACCACCGGCTGAAGTTAGGGGCCACTCAAAATGTTATGAGAGACACAGCTGGTTGGAGATAGGAGTGTTGCTTACCGTTACTGAAATGACCGGAGAAATACGGTCTCAAGGAAAGGCTACGTGATGTTATGCGCCGGAAATGAGTAGAAAATATTCTGTATACGTGGGCCATATAAAGGCATGCAGTGACGGGACGGGGTTGTACTTTGGTGAGGGGGGGGGGTCTCACAAAAGAGAAGAGTTTGCTGTCTACGTACATACGATGTAAGTCTTGGTTCTCATGTAGTTCACATTAGTAGCCTATGATTCGGAGCTGTACTACAGTGACTAAAGGCAAATCGTGCCACGTCTTACTCTCCAGGCAGCCTTTACTAGGCTTTGGCTTATTTGGTGTGTTTTAGGCTTTTTTATCGGGCTTTTTTTATGGTATTACTGCATGGCAAATGGATACTGCCTAGTCAATTTGATACTGTCTTGCAGCCACCGAAAGATCTGCTTATGCTTGGAGATTAGCCAAATCTACCAGTCACGACTACACGTAGGTTAGCTCGTCTGAACAAGGAGGTTCGACTGCACGTCACGACTCTTGTCCTCACCCATGGTAACATGAAATCACCTGTTGTACACACCAACCATAAATACGCATAGAACGACTGGGGGAAACAAAAACACTTATGTTCTATGAGTTATTAGCCTGTGTTGACACAATCCCTCGCTGGCTGTGGTTAAATGACCCCCTCTCAGGAGCCAAAGGTGGTAAGACGGTCCACAAATGTGGGAAAACTTCACAGGTAGACAGATAAATAGACTGTTGGGTGGAATGGCGCTGGGAGAGCGATTTCAACCTTTTAGATTTAGCAAGGCGGAATGCCAACGGATGTCAAGGCATTCATACAGCCATGATTCTAGCCTGTCAATAGCCTGATTTCAGTTTGGATTTATCAAAACACGCACAGGTAACATGACGAATTCAAGAATGCTAAATCTACACCCTCCCCCCTCCCCACCTAACATCAATATCGGGTTTACGCTTCAGTGCGATCAACAAAACAACTCTGTGTCGTATGTAAAGCCTGGCATTTGTAAAGAATGTTACGGCCCGGCCCTTGAACACATATCAAGTTACCCGGAGCTTTCATACCTGACAGGTATGTTTGGCCTGTACCGATCTTTCGGGGCGGCGCCTCGATCCCTCGGACATACTGACAAACTTGAAACGACATGTAGACGGTCGTGTACACACAAGTGCATTTCCAGAAGAAAATACTTAAGAATTCTCTAATCAAACTTAAGAAATGGCTCCCAAGCATTGATGTTGATGTAAAATACATGGGGAAATGGTTAGTTGGTGGGGTCTCTCTCTCTCCCTGTCTCTCTGTTTCTGTCTCTCTGTTTCTGCCTCTCTCTGTCTTCCTGTCTCTTTCTCTGTCTCTCTCACTGTCTCTCTGCCTCTGCCTCTGCCTCTCTCTCTCTCTCCATCTCTCTCTCTCCTCCCTCTCTCTTCCTCTCCAACTCTCTCTCTATATATATGTATATAGCTGCTATTTACACCAACTCGGTACGTGTGATTTCCGCCCTAGTTGTTGCTGGAGAGCAGTGCCGGTCGCTAGGGGGCCTCATCAGGTTCTCCTGTCCTCGGCCGATCGTTGACGACGATGACGACATCTACTGCTGTGATGACGGAACTGACTGTTGCGACAGTTGTTTGGAGGCTGACGACAGCTCAAATTGCTGGGGAGACGTCGTGAACCATGCAGTGAACCTCGGGTATTTTGTTTTCGGCAATTTGCGAAGAAACCATCATGCCATATAATCTATAATTAGCAGCAATTTCATACTTCATGTATGTACGAATGTAAGAGTTACAGTTTCATCACACTCAATCTTTCCATGTCTTGATGTTCCATGTTCACTGCACGTGTACAATACACATAGCTATAACGTTTCTCAGGTTTTATGGATGTTGAGCAGTTATATTTATAAACATTTTTTGACCGCTGTGTTTCAGCTAGTTGCGAATCAATGGTGTGTTTCTAATAGCATTTTCCTGCGTCATACTCAATCTAATTTTTTTCGCCAGTACCGGCGTCATTGTAGGTATCATTACCGGTGTTATCGTCATCATCATCATCATCATTGTGGGAATAGTCCTCTGCTGCTGCGCATGCGCCAAAAGGCGACAAAACCCACCGGTGGCATACCAGGCATCACCACAAGGCAAGTTCTATCTGTGAATTTTTTTTCAGGTCGTCCCAAATTTAAAGAAGTTCAACTCACAAGTCACATTGTGCATCTGTATTTCACAATTGTACAATGTACAATGCTGTTTTTTTTTCATCTCCTTTGCATTTTGTACTGCCCAATATGAGTGGTAATTTTATTCATCATAATACTTATAATTTGTCTTTTTTAGTTATATCCTTTTTCTTTCCGTTATGAGGCTAAAATAGCAGCTGCTAGAGTTGCCCACTGTGCCTTGTACTTTTTATGTTGATCAATAAAAATTAGTAATGTTTGTTTTAATATCACTTGGGTATATTATTCTGTGCGTGTATTGATATTATATTTTGCAAATGATATTTATAATTCTTCTTGTGTTACACAGGACAACAGGTCACGGTGATGACTCAGCCGGGAGCGTACGGCGCCCAACCCGCCCAGTACCCCCCTCCAGCCGGCCAGCCAGAGAAGGGGTACCCAGGCCCCCCTCCCGCATACCCCGCGACCGGCGGAGCACCTTACCCCCCTGCGGGAGCAGCTTACCCCCCTGCCGGAGCAGCTTACCCCCCGGGAGGGGCACCCTACCCCCAGGGAGGAACACCGTACCCTGTGGACGCGGCGTACCCCCCTCAGAAGGCCTAGTCTTCAAGTTTCAGTTTGGGCTCAAATGTACAAAATTACTGATGTCAGGAATACAATTGGAAAACAAATCCTGTATATGTTATATGTATAACATTGCAGTACGCCTTTCTAAATGATTTTAAAGTACGTATGTCAATGGGGATTTGTAACAAATCACAACTTGGATAACGTTTCTTACAATTTCATAAGAAACATTTGTACCGACAATGGGGGCTAGAATAGTTGTATAATCATACCATGTAGCCAGGAATGTTTGAACGTAATGCAGATTTTGTTGTTGGTAGGATCCTCTCTGTATATGCCTTATATTCCACATCTCATGAGTGTGCTGGCATGTTGCCAGTGACTAGAGGGTTCAGGCAAAGGCCGGGTAAGCCGGGTAAATGTTAGGGTAATTGTGCTGAAGTCGACTGTCTAACAGACTACACAGCTGGTACAAAAACAAATATTATCCAAATAGGAGGAATAATTAGTTTACTCGGTTTTGTCAACGTAAATTGAATTTCTGACACACTGTGTACCGCGTTACATTGAAAGATGTGTTCAAATACAAAAACCTACTTTTTCTACAAATATTTGTAGACACTACGTGTGTAATCAAAAGTGTTTAATTTTGTAATACACTGTTTGAATAAAATCACTTGTGTATAATGCCTCTCCTTGGTTTCGATGTTCAACAATGCTGTAAACACATATAGTAAAGCCCATTCCACGCCACAAGGAGGACTATCAATGATAATTGTATTTTTTTATTAGGTGTAGAATGTTTTAGTCCTACCAGGCTTCGGAAGCGGTTGGAACTATTGGAATGAGAAGAAATTGACCAAAGAGACAGATGACTTTTCAGGGAGTTTAAAGAGTAAATTAGCCACCTCCCGTAGCGACTGGACTTTCCTACCATATTATTTGTCTATTTGGGGCCAATTTCTACTCTTTCCAGCCACTTTCAAAACCTGTTAGAGGCTAGAATAAAGGAAATTTGTATGTAAGAAGGAAAAAGTCGATCAGTTTTTTTAGTGAAAACGAAACTAACTTTCTGACTACACGAAAGTGCTATTTGTTACCCTCCGATCCAACACTATAATATAACGTGGAAGGCAATCTACTACAATTGTGCTACACCGACATCTGATCAAGTAAGTTACAATAGGCCACAATATAATCTTGCCAAGCGTTGCAGAACGTGCAAGTTGCCACCAGACAATCAGTCCTACCTGCCACCAAACGTTTGTGCTGATTAGTCTGGGGTGTGACACAAACAGCTCTTACGAAAAATATACTCACTCCCCGAAAACAAGTTTGACCATACTTCACAGGAAAATAAGCAAGACATAGATTTTTTTCTAAAGCCGTTAATATCAATTTAAAAACAAACGTTAAAGCTACGACGGGAAAATTGTTATTCTAAGTTTTAAATGTCACTACGACAAGCGCCAAGGGCACATACCTGATAAACATCCTTTGTTGTAGGGTCTGTCCAATCAGAACGTTCGTCTCAGAATCCACCGCTCTCAGATAGAGTACAGAGTGACATACTGTTACCGTCAGCGTCGGCTGTGGTGTGTTTGGGTGTACATGTGGAGTCTGAAGCCTTGTTGTCGTGTGTATCTCTACCCTACCGTTCCTACCGACTCGATATGGCTCTACTGAAGATACTGCTGGGCGCGGCACTACTGTATGTGGGTAAGTCTGGCGCAAAATTGGACGATATTTTCCTTCTTGTGAACAACACACTGACACTAGCATTCAAGATGGCCGACTAACAAGTCTACATGTAACGTTAGTATGTAACGTTACGCAATTATACGTCTGATCTGTAATTCTGTGTGTTGCTGTTCATCAATACATGACTGGGACAGTTCTCAGTTCAGAGCTAACAGTACACGTGGTGGGGATGTTGTGTGTGCCTGCTTTACCGAACCATGGTAACCACCAAGGTCTCCAGCCTTTATCCACGCATGGGTGCCTCATATGTTTTTGCAAATGACGACAGCCTCCGGCTACCATAGCTCTGACTACTGACACGGAAGTATTGTATTTTGGTTCCTCATGTTTGAATTTTTCCCCAGTTTGGTAGACTACTTCCATTTATTAAAATTTGTTCCGTATAATGGATGTCGATACTTTCCTGACATATCTGTAGTGAAAGCGCCTAAATTAGATGTGACAACAAATGCTTGAGCTACGCTTCCCCATTTCATATGCAAAACGTACAAAATTATGCTGCTAGAAAGAACAGTTATTCTTGATTACGTCGATCATAAGATAAAACGCACAAAATGTTGTTTGTACAGTTAGTGTGACAAATCGCCCATCAGTACTGTACTGTCCCCACTGGGCGATGTACGCACCGAAACTACCAATCTCCTGTACTAGTTTCGGTCTTTGGTATGCAGGGCGCGACAGGATATGACTAGTACTATGAATATATAAATGGACGGATCGCATACCCCAAGCCAACTCATGAATATATAAGAGAACACCTTTTTGATCAACCAGGCCATGTATGTACCGAAAGTACAAATTTGTAGCAGTTTCGGTCCCAGTTTCGTATGCAGGGCGCGGCTGTATGATAATGAGTGGACCGATCCCATATCCAAACATCCACATTACTTCTACCGACATCTTTATGGTATACGCAGGAGGATTGCATGAAGTTCAGTGGGTATCCATGTCTATAGCGCATTGCTATGTTTAATAATTTAATTAACAAAGCTAAGAAAACAGGCCAAGAGGAAGACTGGAACAAATATAAGAGAGTTAAGAAGGGAGTTCAGAAAAGCATAAGACAAGCACACTCTAAATACGTGGCAGACATACTGGGAGAAGCTATAGTTGACAAACCCAAAACATTCTGGTCGTACATAAAGGACTGAGGAAAGACCTTGTCGGGGTAGCACCCCTAAAGGTGGGAAATACCATCATCAGTGACAGCGGGAAAAAAGCAGAAGTACTCAGTTCACAGTTCAAAAGTGTTTTCACAGAGGAAGACACCACAGATATGCCATCTCTAGGTCAGCCCTGTACTCCTCCAATGGAAAATATAGTAGTTTCTACTGATGGTGTCGAAAAAATGCTTCAAGGTCTCAATCCCTCTAAAGCATCCGGACCAGACCAAATACCACCGTGGTTCCTCAAGTTGACAGCTAGTGAAATCGCGCCTGTTCTAACCAATATTTTCCAACACTCGCTAAACACTGCAGAAATCCCTAAAGATTGGAGGGATGCAAATATATGCGCCATCTTTAAAAAAGGAGATAGAGCGGTCCCCAGCAACTACAGACCTGTTTCACTGACCTGCATATCCTGCAAACTACTTGAACATATCATCCATAGCCAAATCATGAAGCACCTAGAAAGTTACAGTATATTAACGGATTACCAGCATGGATTCAGAGCCAAACGATCCACAGAAACACAGCTTATACTAACAGTCCATGACATAGCTGGCGCACTAAACAGTAAACGGCAGGTAGATTTAGCAATACTTGATTTCACTAAAGCCTTTGATAAAGTCCCCCATGGCAGGCTCATCTCAAAACTGGAGTATTATGGAATCCAAGGCCCTACGCTGAATTGGTTAAAGGCTTTCCTGACCAACAGGGAGCAAACAGTAGTGGTTGAAGGGAAGGCGTCGGCTCCAGTTAAAGTAGCGTCTGGGGTCCCTCAAGGAACCGTCCTGGGGCCATTGCTCTTTCTCTTGTACATAAATGACCTACCAGATCAGCTTGACTCAAATGTGAGGTTATTTGCCGATGACTGTCTATTGTATGTAGAGCTTTCTACACAGACCGACTCACAACTTCTCCAAAAAGACCTGAACACCCTGGAAGAATGGCAAAGCAAATGGCTCATGCAGTTTAATCCCGAAAAATGCTACATTATGCACATAACAAACAAACGAACACCACATGCAACTAGCTACCAGTTTTGTGGTCAGGCTTTAGCAACCACAAAAATCCATCCGTATCTGGGCGTCACGCTGACAAGCGGACTGAAGTGGGGTGCACATGTTAATAATATCACAACTAAGGCGAAACAGACATTGGGAGTGATTAAACGTAATCTGTGGGCATGTCCAGCGAGAGTAAAATCACTTGCATACACGTCACTTGTAAGACCGAACCTAGAATACGCTGCGACAGTATGGGATCCATATACAAAGAAAGACAAAGACAAATTGGAAAGGGTACAGAATCAAGCTGCAAGATTCTGTATGAACAACTATGTAAGAGGTGCTAGTGTCACGGAAATGAAAAGAAACCTACAGTGGACCTCACTTGAAGACAGAAGAAAAATGTCTAGACTATGCATGATGTACAAAATGACTAATAAACTGGTGGATGTCCCAACTACTAAGTACCTAATACCAGCCCAGAAGAGAACAAGAAATAGCCACGCATTCAAGTACCAGAGTTATCAACCAAGGATTGAGGTGTTCAAGAATTCATTCTTTCCTAGAACTATCGCAGAGTGGAACTCACTGTCACCAAGTACAGTAGGGGCACTGTCAATAGATAGCTTTAAACAATGTCTAGAGCTAGAAGTTCAAGGGTTAGGTGTAACAAGTCGATCGGTGTAATATAGCCAGCTGCCGCCGCGCCGCGTGCCTGCGAAGCTGGTGTGTTACGCCGAAAGGCGGTTATACCGGCTATACAGATACAGATACAGATACAGAATAATTCATGGTTCTGAAAAATCTGTTTTACTTTCTGCCTTTAAGTATAGTGGAACTTTGCACGCACTCGGGCATTGGCAGCCATTTTGACATGATGGCCCCCGTCACATATTCAGAACCTTCCCCCGAACACCAGCCGACCAATGTTGGTTAAATTTAAAGTTCGGGAGCAGTCTGACCAGATTATAGTATACAAGCCACGCCTACCTTTGTATGTGAATCGAGTTTGAATATGAGTTACATTTGAGTCAAATTTCACTGAAAACCACGCCCCGACTTCCAAACACAAGCCAGCCACCAGCAAACCATGGTAGAAAAAAAATCGAACCTCCCAGCAACACTAAAATTAAACGTTTTCAAACATATCGGTTGACGCAGCTGAACACCATCCGACCTTTCTCCTGACCTACTCCTAATTAAACAATTGTTGCAATTGGGGGAGTTCGGCAGTGTTCGAGAGGCCATGTTTGGCTGTGTGTGACAGTGACCACTTTTACGGAGCGGATGGTGTAAATCCGATAATTAGAATATCTCATTGGGACTCTTCCAATTTTGTAACAGGGGTGAGAGCATAGTCGTGAATCACCAGTGTAGTATCAGTGAATAATTCGTTTTGTTTTTGGAAACGGGCCCAGATCAATATAAATGCGCGAGTCTGTCCAATCCGTTAAATCAAGTTCATGTGACCTACCATCTGTATCACTACATGTATGTATGACTCTTTCCTGCAATTTTAGATGAAGTAATATATTATTATCTTTGTTTGAAATTTTTTTTTGTATCATGACTGCAACAGAATATTTAGTGTGTGTATGTTTAGTATAAGCAGTGGGGTCGTGTGGCGTAGCGGCATAGTGCTCGACTCGGAACCAAGAGGTCCCGGCTTCGAGTCCTGACATGCCATCGATCTTGGGAAAGGCACTTAACACGACTTAATAATTTCCTCACTTCGCTCAGGTGTAAATGAGTATTGTATTGTCCTCTGTGTTGGTGGCGACATTAATATAAGTTGATAAAACATGAGTGTGCCGTCACCACGTCTTGTGATTATATGTTGGAATATAAAAAAAACAGAATATTTTGGTATCATGACGAAATTTAAGGCAAAGTATGTTACAGCCACAATCTTGAAGCGACTTAAAGAAAGGCCATGGATGTTCCGTGTGTCTGGTATCTTCTTTAAAGTTTATATATATCGTTGTATTTGTTGTGTCTACTGTATCTATATAAAGCCGTTGCTGAAACCTGCCCTGGACATTACACGCCTGACGTCCTCGGCATCAAGGTGTGGGTGCCGGCGTTCGACTGCCCCACGCTGGTGGACAGTCCCGGCTCCAAGTTCTGCTGCGGCACGAAGGACAACCCGCACTGCTGCAGCGACTGTACCCAGTCCATCACCAGTGTGGTGGCCTGCATCACAGGCGGGACTCTCAGGTGAGGGCGACTTGGGCACAGTTTGTTTGTTTGACTGGTCCACTAGCCTCCATAGCATGCCAAAAACTGGGGGTTTGGGGAGTCTTCAGGGTCTTTGGGAGCTTTTATGTGCTATTTTCTGATTGTATATAGACAGCATAGCCGGCCTGGTTAATCAAAAAACATCCGAAGACCACCAACCCCCCAGTTCTATAAGCCTGCTACCTCCTCACTTGATTTTTTCAAGCAGCTATAGTGATAACTCGTATGAAGCGCAACGCAACACGATACAATGTATACACAACACAAATTGCCATGCTGTCGAAATCAATGGCAAACTGGCCGATGTCATCGAGATTTTTGCTTGTTATCAGCAAAAAAAAAAAATTTCTCCACACGCTTGATAATGACGTGCTCGCCATTGGCAGAGTTTGGGCCATTTGCGGCCCCAAATAGTAGTGTCGGTCGCGAAGTTTTCGGCGTAGTTAAGACCTTAATGTTATCCTGATCTCTCCCACAGTTACGCGGCGTTCCTGGGCCTGGTGATCGGGGGATGCGTGCTTGTGCTGATCCTGCTGATCTGCTGCTGTGTGTGCTGCTGTCGCGGCTGCTGTTCCTCCCGCCAGCCCGCCGTTACCGTCGTGCAGGGTTCGTGACGCACATTCAGAACCTTCTCCCGAATACCAGCCTAGCCGACCAAGATTGGCTGAAGTTCGGGAGCAGTCTGGCCAGATTTAGACCATTCCTACCTAAAATTGAATCGAATTTGACTTACATTTTAGACAAATTTGAGTGCCAACCACGCCCCGACCTACTCCCGAACACCAGCCAACCACAGGTCAACCATGGCCAAACCTTCCGTTCACACCTGAACGTTTTAAACGTTTTGAAACATGTTCTGATGATTTTATGTGTTTCTCCACACGTTATTGCCATATACCGCGTTGTGTGATTCCTTACCACGTTTCTATCGCCCCCTTGCGGCTGCTGACAGGATGACTGACTTTACCCTTCACTAGTAAGGGACTTCGTTTCCCCTCTACATCCTCAACTGTAACACGACCAGACCAAAACCTTACCGAGTCTATATTCTTCTCTTGCTTTACGCTCACTTGATCACCAACTACTTGGACCGTGAGTTATTATATAAGATTCGTTTTCAATGTGACTGGACATACAGGACATCCATGCATGCTACAAAATGGAGAAAAATCATCATCATCATCACACACAACCATCGTCTGGTACTAGTACTGAAGTTTGTGAAAGATCATATTGTACATCGTCTACCAAGTCTTTGGAAAATATGGTCACACTGCTGCTTAAGTAGTATCTTTGTGTGTCTTAGACATATTTCTGTGTGGTTCTGTTTGGGATCGCTTTGATTTTTACGGGGCTTGCACTATTGCAGGTCCTCCGATTGTGATGCCCAATGTGCCGGGGACAGCTGGAGGCAACCCGCCCTACACCCAGTTTGAGTAGCGGCAGCAAACAGCGCCCCCTGTACATCTGTAGACGCATGTGCAGCCGCATCTGCGGAGCTGTGTTTATTCAGTGATTTCCAGTTTAAGTTTTACTTGCACAAGTTTGTTATTTCGCTATGGTGTAGACTGCGCTATGGTACATTAGCTCACAGTATCGCTTCCCTGTCGTATCGTATGTATGGAACATATCAGCTGTATGAAGGATGTGGAGCATAAAATTAAGTCCAAAAACGTTTTATTTCTATAGATACATGTATATAAGAAACAATACATGTAAGTACGCACCTGATTATTTTCGTACCCATTGTGACAGTGTAAATTTGGCATTCGGAGTTGCCCAGCTAGTCATAAATGACAGTATCATAACCCTTATCTCAGCATCGACGATGTAAAAAAATCTGGGGAATTTTCACTGGCTTTTGTCATCTATATATAGGAAAATGTAGATTTTTATTTTTTTTTGTGGTTCAAAGCGGTGGCTTGTAAGAATATACACAGCATATATATTACACATATGTAATATATATAGCAGAAAATGCATATTGTCTGGTATAGGAAAAGGTCATGGTTTCCGTTTGTACAACGGCTTGTTTTCTTGATTAAACCGCGATGCTTTCTAAACAAAGAGTTTTTACTGTTGTCTCATTGACTTACAATAATCCTATGGAACCCAATGATGATACTATGAATACAGATGGCGTTATGAAAAAGATATTTATTCCCTTATATGAATGCACGAATACGACATCAGTTTGTAAAACCAATTTTAATAGCCGCTAAATCTATTGGTACAGAATCGACCACCCCTTAAGTTTTCCTAGGGTTGGTACGTTCCTATTGTCCAACAACCGAGTCATTCAAGAACGTCATTCCTTACATGCTTAGCGACACACCGAGAAGACCAAAGGAAGAGAGAAAAAGACATGGCCGCTTCAGGCTTGCTGATTTTGATAGCTGTCCTTGGGACAGGTGAGAACTATTACTTCTTTTTGTTCTACTCTGTTGCAGTCGCGATATCGCTCAATTTGTGGTATATAAGGACGCAGAACGTAATAAAATTGCATGGTACCATTGTGGAGATACTATAACGTGGTTTTGGCTAACTTCCACAAACTAGGTTATTGTTCAAGCAACTATAGCTGCAGTATATGACTTCAATATCTAAGAACAAACGGATATTTTCGTTTAGTCTGGTTATAGCTTTCACTCCTCTAGAACTAGAGGAAGTATGCCGAAAGTTTGACTCATGAATTTGGAGTGTAAGCTTTGTGTGTAAGGAGTGTAAGAATGTGTAAAACATGGTTAAAAGTAATGACGGGGTCAGAAAATAATGCCCCTTATAATCGCTCAATTCAAGATAGGGTCCCTCAAGATTTCTCTGAAAATATGAAAAATTACGGAACATTTTGCTGTTCAAAGTCCGATCGTTTGTTACCCACACCCTCACCTGTTTGTTCAGCGTTACTAATTAATGATTACTTCTTTGTCAAGTCATGCAATGGCTAAAACGGTGATATACACGTTCTTTCAGTGTGGGGATGGCTTGTTTACTTCTTAAGCTCCTGCCACATAGTTCACAACATTCTCCCGACAAGCAACCAACCACCAGACAACCGAATCTCCTGTCCACACCCGAATGTTTGAAACATTTTGGAACATTCTGCAGCCGAACAGTTGCAGAAAATTGACTTCGAATATCCAGTTTTGCCTCCCTGAAACTGCATTCGATGCCTAAGATACAAAATACAATGTTGCTTCTTCTTACAGGTACATCCGGTAATATACAAACGGAAGAACAGGAACAGGGAGTATGTTAACAATACCCTCTTTCTGGTTCCTTAGCCTCTGGTGGTGAATACTGTTCCTCCTACACCGACATATACGGAGTCTTCCATTACGGTTTCAACTGCCCCAACTACAGTGATGGTGATGACTATGAGGACCAGTACTGTTGTGGTACCAGCAACAGTCCCTACTGCTGCGATTCTTGTTTCTTGTCGCAGGTATACGTAGTTTAAAGTTGGGCTTTGGTTTATGCGTAAAGTACTAAAGTACTGAACATACACACACACATGCACACACATGCACACACATGTACACACACACACACACACACACACACACACACACACACACACACACACACACACTACTACTATATATATATATATATATATATATATATATATATATATATATATATATATATATATATATATATATATATATATATATATATATATA